CCCTGGCTGCCTCACCTGCCTTATCCTCTCTTCGAACACCTCCTCCCCATGGAAGGAAAAAAAAAAAAAGGAAAAAAAAAAAGCTTAATCTCTTCCTTCAGCCCTAGGAAAGCCTTTTTCTAGCCCTTTCCTAGAAATCTCAGGTACTCCAGAACCCCAAGTGACAGACACGGTGGGAGAGTTGCCAGAATTGATCCTCTCGGCAACACTAAGTGCTCCCATCGATTCGGGATGCAGGGGGTCGTGCCTTCTCTGAGACCCACAAAGGCTGCTCACAGGGGCTCCTGTCGGCACGGGCCAAGCCAGGGGGGTGGCTGGAGGTGCCGACATGTGGGGAGCAGAGCCTTTAGGCTCTCTGGTGTCTCCCGGGGGCAGCTGTGGGACAGGGATGTGCTGGATGGGTGAGGGGGCCCCGCCACCGCCCGCGGGTGCCGTGCCCAGCCCTGCCTGCTGCCTGCCGCCCGGGGGAGGCTGCTGCTTCTGGTGGCTGTGCCGGCGTCAGCCATTGCTCTCTGCTCGTCTCTGGCATCCGGGGGTGCTGGCTGAGAAGGGGGGATCAGTACCAGCTGCTTTCTCTGGGCAGATTTTGAAGGGGGGGCAGGAGGGGCCGGTCCACACTTGGGGCCATGGCTGAGCTCGTCTCTGCCTCTGGCAGGCCCCAGCCCCTGAGGCTTGGGGGCCAGTGGGTCGCTGCAAGGGAGCAGGAAGGTGCAGTCCAGCTTAGGGGGTGTTCAGGCAATTTACCCCTGAGGGGCTCCCCTGCTCCCGGAGCCCCTTGCCGAGTGGCATCAGAAGCCGCCTCCTATTGCAGCGCTGCCTGCCAGAGCTGCTGGGAGCCGTTCTGTTGCAACATGGCTGGGTAAACCCTGCAAATCAAGGGACTAAATGCTCTCTCTGGAAATGTCCACCACGGAGAAGGGGCTTGGTCACTGAGCTGGGGACCAGAGGTTGAGCTGCTGAGCAGCTCCAGCCCATGAGAGGGTTGGACTCATCGTCCAGCACTGTCCTGGATGCACTTTCCAGCTCTCCAGCAAACCCCAGTAGGGGGGACAAGGTGCTGCTTCTTGCTGTGCATCAGACCTTCAGAAAGGGAGCCCAGTGCCCTGGCAGCCTGACCCTGAGAAGAACTGGCTTCCATGGGAGAGGCCATGCAGCCTGGGGGAGAGTTGGGGAGTTAGGGCAGGTGCACAATCCTCCCCGCACACTGAGCTCGAGATGTGAGGTATGAAGTGGAAGGAGATGCTGGTGATGTCCTTGTGCCTGGGGAAGGGTCTGGCAGACCAGAGGTGGCACTGAGAAGGGAACAGTAGTCCTTTTGAGAGCTGGGTTACTATGTGACACAGCTTCAGTTCTGCCTGTCCCAACTCCTGCATCCCTGCCAGCGGGGCTCAACAAGTGGCCATCCCCAGCCACTCCAGCATCTCCAGCAGCAGAGCTGGAGCCACCAATAAAGAGTGTGGCTCAGGTGATGCAGGATGCATCTCAGGATGCAGCTGATGGTGAGGTCCCAGGTGAGCACCATGCTTTGTCCCAGCTGCAGGATGAGGTGTTACAGACTTTCTGCCCTCTGGTAGCTTCACCTGCTCTTACAGCTCCCTGAGTGATGATGTGCTGGCACAAGTGTTAGGTGATCTGTTGGCTTGAATCAGGAGAGGACTTGGTCCTGGCCAGGAAGAGTTCCAATGGGCTGGGGTATGAAGCTCTAAAGAGGCCAGGGATGGTTGTCTGGCAGGTCCTCATTCCTGGTGATGGTTTGGTGTTGTGCAAGAAGAGGTGAAAGGAGAAGGATGGTGAGGTGAGCCCTCATTTAGCCAGCAGGACCTCCAGAGGTGGCTGCTCACCATGATAAGACCAACAGCATTTTTGGAGGCAGCAATGAAAAAGTTCTTCTCGCCCAGTCTCCCTGGTTATCCTTAAGCCTCCCAAAGCCTTGTGATGGAGACTGTGTCCACCTGGGGCTCCTTAGCATCCTTCTCTGGGACACCGTGTTGCAGCTCCTAGCTCTGCCAAGAGGCTTTGCTGGCACTTTGGGCCAAACTCTCCTGTGAGGAGCTCTCTGGGACTGGAGGTCCCTCTGCCCAATGTAAGAGGGGCAGGGAGGGCTGGCACAGCTGGGTGCAGGGCCTCTCAGCACTCACCATTGGTGCCTGCCCTGCTCCCTGCAGGAGTGTGGCTCTGGTGTAGCTGAGACCTGGACTCCTCTGTCTCCTCCTGGTTTCTGTAGTAAAGGCACGTAAAAGCAACAGAAGGGAAGGACACCCTTAGGGAGTTATTTGCATGGGTCAGGAGAGAGGGGGAACTACCCTGCTCCTTAGGGAGTCCTGTGGGAAATCACAGCCCTTCCCCATGCAGTTGCTGGGGCCTCGGGAGGGAAGGAGATCTCCAGGGGAAGGAAACCCCTTCATCTCCTCAAGAAGTTCAAAGCAGCACCCTCAGGCTGAGGCAAAAACCAATCCTAGCAGTATGGGCTGTTTTATGTGTCTGCCATGCTCATCTGGAGCAATCGGAAGATTTGTGATGTGCTGGGGGTTGGAGAGGGGCTACCTGTCTTCTCGTGAGGAGACACAAAAGGGCTGTCTTCTGATGGAGGGGCTGTGCCTGCTCTGCAAATAAAATAGTCTCTGGCTCTTGTGATGGAAGAGGAAACCCAGGGCCCTCCAGAGGTAGCATAGTACTTTCTTACCCTCTGATGCTGGTTACAGGGCCTCATCAGGGTGCAACCTGAGCAGCTGGGCTTGTTGGAGCCCCCAGCTCCACCATGCCCCATTGCCCTGGCCAAGTCCCTGTATGGAAAATCCTGTGCAGGGGCAGCAGGCTTGGGAGGTGAGGCTTTAAGTCCCTTTTCCCCAGCAGGAGATGGAGTTGAGGGCTCAGCCAGGCTTGATTTATAAGGCAGTTATTAGCATTGCAATCCAGCTGCTCCTGCTAAGGGCAAGTAGCAGCTGCCTCCACTCACAGACACGTGTGTGCCCTAGCTCACTGTTCCTGGGTGTCCTGAGTTTATCAGTTCTCATGCATTCAGCAGGGCTGCCAGCTTCTTGATGCCTCTCGGCATTGTCCTTCAGGGCAGGACCCATCACCTCTGCAAGCACAGGGCTTCCCCACCCTCACAGCCAGGAGCTGACCTCCCACATACCTGCAATGCTGTGGTGCCCACCTACAGTGGCACACAGTTGGGACCTGCTGGCAGGGGAAGTTGGCCAAAATACCTGTGTAGGTTCTGCTCAGACAATTACTGCCGATGTTGGAGCTGAAGAGAGTCAGAACTGTTTCATTTTGCTGGTATTTTTAGCCTCTTTGAGAAGCAAGAAAGACAAGGGTGTTTCCCGCGCAGGGAAGGGGGGGGGGGGGGGATAACGTAGAGCCTTGTATCTTCTGGGAAGCCCCAGAGCACCCATGTGAGAGGAGAAAAGGGCGGGAGTAATACAGAGAAAGGGATTTCTTTACTCATTGCATTAAGTGAGGATTTTTCAAGCAGACAAGGTGCCTCCAGGCAGAGCTGATAGGGAAGATGGAGCCGTGGATACCATTATCGAGGATCTGAGAGACAATAAACACAGTCACGAGTGACATCTGTGGGTGGCGTGGCACTGGTGGGGTGAGAGCCAGTGACAGGTTAGCTCAGCAGAGGCCTCCAGGCCACATGTGGGCCAGACTCCTGAGAACATCACTCTAACCCAGCCAGAGCCAAAGCCAGGTCCCAAGGAACCAGCAGTGCCAGTCAGGCTGATGGTAGATGCAGCCACCACTGACAGCCCCTGGGCTGGGAGGCCAAGGGGAGCCACCAGGCAGGAAGGCAGTGGTGCAGAGCAGGGTGTGTTCCTGGTGTGGAGGGATCCCCTGGGGATCATGGAGGATTATCTGAGGCCACTACACTGAGAGTTTGTCAGCAATATCTGGCAGCCCCTCCTGGGAAAGGCCCCTGTTCTCCTTCAGCAGCAGAGATGATGGGGAGCTGGCAGAGCAGCTCACCAGGTATCTCTCTTGTCCCTTAACAGGGGTTAGATGTTGGAGAAGGTCAGGGATGGCCCTGCCTGAGGAAGGAGCAGGGCAAGGGGTTAGGTGGGGGCAGAATGGGGAGAGGGGCAGAGCACCTGGCACTGCTCTGCACCAGCTGGGCTTGCCCCTTGATGAAGGTGCTCCTGTGGCTTCCCTCTGCCTGGGAACACGGCCGGCCATGGCACCAGCCCTGCTGCACAGGAATCTCTCCGGCCTTTGCGTTGCTGAGCTGGCCCCGCTCTGCTTGGCAAGAAGCTGGACAAACGCTCCTGTCTCCCACAGGAAGGGATCCCACCTCTGCAGTGGGGCAGAGCCCCTCATCCCTGGCTCAGTCAGACACGCAGCAAGGGCAGGAGGAGGAGGAGGCCAGTTTGTGTGGGCATCTGTGCCAGGGTCAGCAGATCCCCTGTACCTGCTGCGGGTGCTGGAGAGTGGGTGCTGGAGCAGGACCAGGAGCCGGGCTGGCTGGCTGGCAAGGGGAGGCAGTCAGTATCCCCAGCAGAGTGCAGGGAATTGGCGCTGGCTCAGCTGGGGAGGGTTTTTTGGTTGGGTTTTTTTTTTCCCCTCCAGGACAGCTGATTCCATCTATTTTTAATGAGCCTCCCCAGGTTGCGCAGTGAGGAGACAGAGCAGTGCCGGCAGCCACGGAGCAGGCAGAGGGGCAGGGGGTGCCCGGGGCTCAGCCAGCATCTCCCTCACTCCTCCTTGCCCCTGGACTAGGGGTCTTTTTTGGGGTGGGAGCTTGTCCCTCCAGGGAAAAGGGGGTCCACCTCAATGCAGCTATCCTTGAAAATGGAGTCGAGCACCGAGGAGGAGAGCTGGCTGGAAGATCAGTGGGAGAAATGGTAGGGGAGCGGCGGGGCCTCGGGGAGGGGGGGCTATCCTGTGGGGGTGCAGGGGGCTGAGGGGCAGCCCTCCACCCCTGGGCACATCACCTTTCTCTGCG